TTATTATTACTATAAAAAGCAGTATTCCAATTTTATTTATTTTTGTTTTTTTATTTAATTTATACATCATGTATTAACCCGTTGACCTAGTTTAATTCTATTTCTAGGTCAATTTAAAAAAAAAAAATTGGGCAATCACTTTCTCAACAACTAAACATCAAACAGCTATTCCAATCCAGACAGAGCGAATAAATAAATAAAACAAGCTGCCCATTTAAGAACTTGTATGAATACAAAGAAATAATAAACAAAAAACAAAAGAAGAAACTGTAAATACAATTCCTTAAGGCTCAGTTTGGAAGGAATATAAATACAAATATCTAGAATATAAAACCTTGTCTTTACGTTTTTGTATTTGTACTCTTTCCAAATTAAACCTAAGGCTCAGTTTGGAAGTAGTATAAATGCAAATACGTACAGTATAAATACATACAAAATAATATAAAATATAAAGTTTTTCACTTTACATATTTGCACTTATATTCCTTCCAAATTCAGTCTAAGGCTCAATTTGAAAAGAGTACAAATACAAATATGTATAATATAAATACATACAAAATACAAAGTTTTGCATTCCATATATTTGTATTTGTATTTCTTCCAAACTAAGCCTAAGGCTCAATTTAGAAGGAGTACAGATACAAATGTGTAGAGTGCAAAACCTCATATTTTGTATTATTTTGTAGGTATTTGCACTGGTAATGTTTATATTTGTACTCCTTCCAAATTGAGTCTAAAGAATGAAATAGACACAATAGATAAACAAGCTGTCTAAAGAACGAAATAGACACATGATCAAGAAATAAGGTCCCATTTGGCATGTCTTTTTGTGTGAGTTGCCGGCTTTATAAAAGTCCAGTAGCCTATGTTTTGGTCTTTTCCTATTTGGTTGGAAAAAGATTTAGTCGCCGAAAGTCGTAATCCCGAAAAGATGTAGGAAATCTGTTTTAGGCTATTTTCGAGAACTTCAAATAGAGATTTTGGCCTTTTTTTCAATATGTTTTCCTGTGAATAGATGCACTTTAACCAAATGATCTTTAAACTGCTAAGATCTTAATGCAAAAATTTACATCGTCTTTTAACTATCAAAACTTTTACAAAATCTTTCAAAAAAAAGACTTACCAAACGATCCTTATATTTTTTATAGAAAGGAAAAGGACTTCACTTTTATATTAGGCCAAGATTCACCACATGGGCCAACCATGTCCCTTCAAATTCAAAACCAAGCCATAAGATTGCCATAAGATTCAATCCAGGTTCAGTGTTTGTTTCGTCCATCTTCCCCCACCATTGCTCCTATGAAGGCCCATTCCATCATCTTCTTCTGCTGGGCTATTTTACTCTCACAACCTGACAACCTTATACTATTCTGATCAGAGGGTTGATGTTGGATCCAAGCCTTGGGCCCACGCTAATGGAACCTGGGAAGGGTCCACAACCCGTTATGGGCATCTCATAGTCCCATGTCGATCAAGAGAAGAAAGTTACGCAACATTTAAGCCAAAGTGGGGAGGGATGGGGAAAGGAAGGCGGCCATGAAGTTTCTTGAGGGGCCCACTAAGCCCACAAATCCATAACAGACAGAGTCCTTCCACCAAATGATTAAATTTGGGCTTTAATAAAGGAAACGAAGGCTAGACCAAGACCATAGACCGTAGTCCTTACGACTATTTACGTGGCCATTATTTGAGGAAAGCTCGAGGTTATTTTGGTAAATTGATACTGCTTTTTTGTTAGTTCCAAGTTTCCAAGTATATTCTGGTACCAAAAAAAGGGCGGGAAAAAAAGGAAATAATAAAACAAGAAAAATTCAGGTCAGGTCGGTTTCCGTGGAGGTTATTTTGAAATTCTCATCATGGTAAATGGGTCCCACCAAAGGGAGAAGGAGAGTGACGTGTTGGCCACGATTCTCCATCTAGCCTCTCCCACTGAACCAACGAACGGTCAAAACTCAAAAGCATCATTGCTTTCTCATCTAAGCACGTTTGTTACTTTTGCTTCCATCCAATTAAAAGAGAAGGGCTATCAAATCAAATCCTTACAAAAAGCATTTAAGCTTTTCTCACGCCTTTTTATTTTTTAGCAGATTTTTGAACTGAACGCGTGATTAAGGGTATCTTCGTTATTTCAGTATGGCGATAATCCGATTAATTTGCTGACGAAGACGTGGCCTAGGTGGATCCGTGGATATTCTTGTCAGTGACGGAAATATCCCCACCAACATCTAATGCCTTGGATCTGGTCCCCTCATTTCGGGCCTTGTGTCGTTTGTCTCCAATTTGTCATAGTCAACTATAAGTCATACAAATCCAACGTATAGTATACGCCACGTAGGCCACCCTTTCCAGATTTAAAATTAATTCCTTCCCGCTTTCATAAAACGTGCAAGGGTGGACCTACATGAAATGTTAAGACTTTCAATGGGAGTTAGTAGTAAGTCGGTGCGTGCATTGGACCATGGTTAACCGGTCCACGATTCCGAAGTCTCTTGGAATGCCACCGTTTTACACGCCGGGCTCAATTTATTTTTACTCGGACTACGAGAATTTAAACAGTTTTTTCACCATGATTAAATATAATGCGCTTCACATGAAAAAAACAAATTATTGTCAACTTGTTTCCTAAGGCTGCGTTTGCAAGCGATGTAAATCAATAACGTAAAAGTTCGTATTGATTTGGTTTTGTTTGCATTTGGATGGAGTATAAATGAAAGTAAATGTAGCATTTATGGTTTTTGAATTGTCGTTGACTCAGATGATTAAATTGTTTGGCTCGGGAACCATCTAGGTAACTGGTTCCATTTTACCCTAAATTTGGTCCTTGATAAAAAATCGTTGCGGTAAATGACCTGTTGACCCAGGTCGTCAATTCATTGACCCGTTCAATAGTTTTTGGCCATTTTTTATTTTTATTTATTTATTATTTTTAAATTTTTGTTGTCAGAACTAACTGTTTGTTCGAACTAGATGGTTGAACCATCAACCCAGAAACTGGTGGTCAAAACGATTCCGTTTCCGGGTTGTTTTTTAAAAACCACAGTAAAATTCTACTCCGATTTAGATTTATCAGCATTTGGATAGAGTGGAGTTTTATATTGTGAATCGATGTAAAACCTCATCAGTAAAGTTTTACATTTATTATTGAAGTAAATACTATATTGATAAAATCTATGTAAAATTTTACACTTTTCTCATCATGCTTTTTAAAGTTTAATGGTCACTTCCTCATGGTTCAGTTAGACCTGTTCATGGGCCGGGTGGCCCAACGGGCCGGCCCGGCCCGGCCCGGCCTAGCCCCCGGACGGGCTTGAACAGGAGATTTGGCCCGCGGGCTTAACCTCGGTCCAAAAAGCCCAACCCGTATAAAATTCGAGTTGGGCTCGGGCTTTGCCAAAATAGCTTGGCCCGGCCCGACCTATACTTAAACCTAAGTAAAAACCCTATGTGATGTCCATTTGAATAAATTTTTTGATTTAAGAAGGTTGTTGATTCACTTGTAGGCCCATTGTTCATTTAAATAGGGGAAAAAAACATTTGAATTAAAATAGATAATGTCCATTTGAATAGGGAAAATTTTGAATTTCTTTTATTAGGTTGGGCTTCGGGCTTGGGCTCGGGCTTCGGGCTTTTTATCAGGGCCGGGCTCGGGTCCAAGTTGTAGGCCTGTTGGTCGGGCCGGGCTCGGGCTCGGGCCTAACATTTTTCTGTTAATAAAGAGTAAAAGCCTGGCTCGAGCCCAGCCCGGCCCATGAACAGGTTTAGGTTCAGTGTAGAACGTCATTGATATACTTTTACACCAATTCTAAACACAACCTAAGGAGTCATTTGGCAATTCCTTTCCTATGGATTTTTGTGTTTTTAAGAGTTTGAAACATGGTTTTTAAAACCGACCCAAAGACTGAATCGGTCAGGGGTCCAGTTATCGGGTCGAACAGTCTGACCTTTCAAACCGAATGGTCGACCCATTCTAACAAAAAAATTAAAGAAAAAATAAAAAACAGTCAAAACCATTCAAACGGTTGACCACCTGGATCAATGGTTTGCTTATCAAAATCAACGATTTTTGAAAAAGTTTTGATTTTGGGGAAAATCGAAATCGATCACCTGACTGACCATCCGGTCCGATCCGATTTTGAAAACCATGGTTTGAAAGACCAAAATTCTTCATTTAACAAATGAAAAATAGGAAGATAAAAGTACCTATGCCCTTGAAAACTCATGAAAGTCCAAAAATGGCCAAAAATTTGTAGTCTTAACTTTTATCTTTCTACACATAATATCTTTCATTTAACAATTATATAGATCATGATAGACTAGGATGCTTATCAAATAGTTTATATCTTTAAAAACAAAACCCCAAAATCTCATTATATTTTTTAACCATTTAATCTATTCTAAGATCTTCCTAAAAAGACCCCAAAACTCGTTATATTAGTGATACACAACATGCCAATCATCTCATTGGTAAGATTTACTCATTATTGCAAGGGAGATTTGGGATCGAATTTTAGCTACACTTTGAACTTAGGGTTTATTATTAATCGGATTTACTGACCACAAGGTTTACAATACATTGCCGGTCACACTCATCCCATTGCATATTAAGAATAAGAGTAATGTAAAGTACAACTAATGTTACGGCTGAGTGAACATGAAATTGATTATTATTCATAATATCAGGTAGTTAGTGATCGATTTTTATGTGTTTATAAGCTTTAATGAAAATTAGATTTCCTTTGTTTTTTGTTTTTGGGATGCTTGGAAACACACTACCCGCATTTTGTGCTAGCCCATTTCGTTTTATCAAAATATAATTATTATTGTTTTTCAAAATGTAGATAAGGTAATTCCAAATTTCCAATAACGAAAGGATCGTACTTTATTCCCGCTCAGACGAGACCATTTATCACCGTCAGATTGATTTATCATCTAAGAGTCTCCTTAAATAATTTACAGAGTTTTTATTTTATTTTGTTTATTTTTATCCTTCACTAGAACGGGTTGACGCCTTCCGTCGTCAACCCTCCCTCGAAACAAATGTCTCTTTCTTTCGTTCTTTCTATATATCTGCCGGCACGAGATACGGATTAGTTCATTGCCTCCGATTGATTCAGAGTGATTTTCCTGCAATCTGAGAAAGAAACAGGCGAGCGAAGATGTCGTTGAAACAGGATTGTGGTCACCACCACCATCACAACTGGAAGAAGCTATTTTCCCGGCGAGTATTCGTCGTGATTTTCGTATTCGTCATTGTGATTCTGTTCGCCATCTTCCTTGTATGGGCGATCCTCCGACCCTCCAAGCCCCAGTTCACACTGCAAGACGCTACCGTATACCAGTTAAACATCTCCGACGGGAATTATCTCACCTCAAACTTTCAAGTCACAGTCTCATCGAGGAATCCCAACGGCAATATCGGTATCTACTACGACAGACTCGATGTATACGCGACGTACGGTAATCAGCAGATCACCCTTCCGACTAGATTGCCGCCCACCTACCAGGGTCACAAAGACATCAACGTCTGGTCTCCGTTCGTCTACGGCATGTCTGTGCCGATTGCGCCTTACCTCGCCGCCTCGTTTTATCAGCAGCATAATTTCGGGACCGTCTTCATCAAAATCAAGATTAATGGACACATCAGGTGGAAGGTGGGTACTTGGATCTCCGGGGGCTATCATATCTACATCAACTGTCCGGCTTATATCACCTTTGGCAGTCGGAACACAGGGATTCCCGTCGGAACGGCCTTCAAGTACCAGCTGGTACAATCCTGCGGCGTCGATGTCTGAACTCTCAACTCTGAAGCAAGCAATCGCCGCTAGTAACTTCACTCTCCGCCTCTCTCCTCATGACGCCGTTAGTTGTTTGTTTGTTTTTTTTTTTTCTTCTTTTAAAGTGTGCTTCAGAATGAAATTTCACTCCATGTGATCGCAAAAGAGGTAATTTTGGGTTGTAATTGTACATTTCAATAAAAAGAAAGGCAAGCAAAAGAAGCAAAAATTTCAAGGGTTGTTATATTATTAATCAAATAGAAGAAAATTTCCATTGAAATATTATTAGAAAGAAAATTCCTTTGGCTTTTCTAATCAATTTATGTTGCTGCTCATCGCTCATTTATTACTGTTTCGTTTACAGTGTAAATTTCGTATGCACTGGTCTATATTGGAGAGAGTGCAAATAGGCATAGGTTGAGTGTAAATTTTGGTTTACCTTTGCTTTAGATTTGATCCTCGTTTGTAAGAAGTAGAATACAAGATGAAAGGCTTATTTGTTTGGGGTGAGGTAAAAAACAAGATGATGCAATCCCCACTTTATATGTGAGAATTGAGGCGGGAGGAAACTTTGTATCAGGTAGGAACATAAATTATTGTTGAAAACAAATGGTAATGGTACTCAAGAAAACAAAGAAAAACAAATGGTAGTGGGCTTAGTACAAAGTTTGTCTCCAATTCGGCAATTCAGATTTTGCACTACAATTAAACAAAACCTTAATTTCATAAATGCTGCTTCATGGTTCTACTTTTACTTTTTTTTTTTCTTCTTTCAAGATGTATCACTTTCGCATAGAGGCCCATCAAAACCCTTGTTGATTTTTTCAAATAAAGAGAACTTTTTTTTCTCCACTCCAAGGAGCTACACAAATGGGGCTAGCCCCATCCCCAACCTAGGTGCAGGTAGGATTCGATCCTAGGTCTCCGCTACAACCAGCAGGAGACCTTTCTAATCAACCTGTTGGCATTTTGTTCTTGTAAGGAGAATTTAGGTGGGATTTTTTTTTTTTTTTTTTTTTTCTTTTCAAGGGGCTACACAACCATCCCCGAACACATAAACCCCCCTAACCCAGGTAGAAGTGGGATTTCATCTCCAAATCCCTGCAACAACCAGCAGGAAACCTTTTTTTATTCCAAAAATTTACTCCAGGTGGAGGGGCAACCACCTAAGAATTTTATTGATCAGCCATTATCAAAAGGAAATTGAATTACTGGGAGGACGTACCTTTTTTGCCCCAAAACCCAAACAAGAAAATCATTTTCTTCCATACTCAACCCTGCCCAATAGCATTAAAAAAAACAAAACAAAGAAAAATGCACCTGTCTTCATTCATGAAATTCAAGAGATCCCTAGGAAGATTCTGAGAAGAGTGAAACAACCATAGACCTTACCAACCAGCTAATTGGCACCTTGTGACATAGGATAAGTTTGGTGACCCTTTCTTTGTGTTTTATAAGATTTTTCTAAATTACATCCAAATCACTTGGGAATTGGGACATATATTGTCTGCCACACTGTGTATAATGGGCTAGGTAACCAATCATGAGTGAACACGTCAGCTTCCCTTATATTTGCATTTGCTTTATTGGCACAATTGAGGTGAAACCATTAAAAGGTGGGTTTATTTTTTACCAATGGGGACCCGTGCAATGCACGGGATTTGTTAAATTAAAAATAAACAATAGAAACATGTAAGAATATACAATTATTTTAAAATATAATAATTAAAGGCAATTATTTAAAAAAGATATATTTTATGGACAATTTATACATAGAATATAAGAATTTGGAGGTATTTTAGAATTGAATTATAATACTTTAGGGATAATTCAAAAATAAAATTATGGGATCCTAGGATTTTAAAAATTTAGGGAAAACTTAGAGATATTTTAAATATCAATATTAAACGTAGATATATTTTACTAGTTTACCTTCGGGTTCAGGGAATTATATACAAAACCCGCCCCGCCCCGTACCCGGTTCGGGGAAAAATTATTTTCCTCATCCCTGCCCTGTCCTTGTTTAGGGTCGAGGAAAACCCGCCCCATTCGGGGTAGGGCGGGGCAGGGCCCCGGTTTTACGAGGAAAATTGCCATTTCTAGATGGGGATGAATTACCCCCCGCGGGGACGAAGATGGGAAAATTTTCATCCCAATTGGCAGGGACGAGGAGAGCACTCCTTGCCCCACAGGGACCCCGATTCCCGTCCCGTGGGATCCCCGCTAATATATGTATATATATATATATATATATATGCATACGTTTATATATGTATATATGTACACATACGTCTATATGTTAATATTTTTAAAAATATGGCTGAATATGTTTGAATCTTTTCTAATAGGATTATAAATTTTAATTATTTTATTTTTTATTTTTTAAATAAAATAAAAAATAAAAACATAATGGTTGACATTATAAAGAATCACGGGGATGGGGATAACTTTGTCCCTATTGGCAAGGATGGGGATTTTCATGAGGACGGGGATGGGGAGAGGCTCATTGTCCCTGCCCCACCCCACCCCACCCCATTGCCATTCCTAATCAAACCAATAAAACTGACCAATCCGATTTCTAGTATTTCCAGTCAGCTTTGGTTCAACGATTTCCCAACCCAACTGGGTTGGATTAGTTTATCTTTGGCCATTTGTAAATTGACTAAAATCAAATGACCCGACTATAGATATATATTGATATTTTATATTTTTTTTAATACGAGAAAGTGGGAAAATTCCAATATTTCTTAGGCTAAAATATTTTATATCATAAATTTAATATTTAATTTTTTTTAATAATGCCAATGTAATTTTTTTAATCTAAACTTACTTTTTAAAGTTAATTTTTCAAGTTTAAATCTTTTGAACCGACCAACCAAACCAAAAATTGACCCAAACTGATATAAGTTGAGTTACCAACTCTCCAACTTGACCAGGTCAATTTGGTTGGCCAAACAACCTACAACTGAACTGAACGAACCCGTGAACAATAGTTTAATCTCCAATAATTATTAAAAATTTATAGCAAAAGTGCACAATAAATTAAATTTAAAAGCTAAACAACAATAGTTTAAACCTCAATAATTATTAAAAATTTTCTATTAAGTAAAAAAAAATAACAATAGATTTATACATAATTATTAAAAATATATTTATCACAAGAAACAATAAATAATTACTGAAATACAATAAATATTAATTTTAGTATATAATAAATATACATAAAGTTTTTAAAATTATAATTAATAAACATTAATTTGTTTGAAAGTTATTTTCTAGAATTATTAATTGGTATAAATGAAATTAGTTATTTACAATATTATTTATTTATTAGGATATTAGACTATTTAGATTATTGGAACATGCGTGTCTGGGAGAGAGAGAGAGAGAGATTTTAAGAAGACTTTTTTTGGAAAAAGTAGAATTTCTAATTGATAGTTTCAAAAGTGACATGGATTAAAAAATTAAAAATTAAAAAAAAAAAGAGAAAATTTTTAGATAGATAGATAGATCAGGCTTGAGATGAACAAGGTGGGATAAAATATGGTGTGTCGTGGGGGTTGAGAAAACTAGTGGTTATGCCAAAGTTCACTTTGGAAAAGTGAGTTCTATTGCTTTTCAGAGTAGACAAAAGTGGTGTTTGGTAAAATTAAACTCTCATCAAAGAAAAAAAAGATTCACATATGGATCAAGATTCTAAATACGTAAAATCTTTTTCTATACCTTGAATACAAATGAATTGTTTGAATGTTGTTATATATATCTAGAAACAGTTCATTTTACAAATTTACCTCTCTAAATATGGAGACAAAAAAATATATAACATAAAGCATTGGTGAATAGAGAATGGTTTTAGGTTGTGTAGGAATATAAAACAGTGGAATTTGTGTCAATAGAAATTTTTATATGTTAAATTTGAAAGAAAAAAGAAAATCTAAAAGGCCTCCTAGTGAGTTTAGAAAAGAGTAGCCCTCTAAACTACAGGAGCAATTTCACAATTAAGGGCTGATTTGGTTTGTAGGAATAGGGGTCTGGAATCGGAATTGAAATAGGCCATTCTAATTCCAACCGTTTGATTGGCAGAATTGGAATCTCATTCGCATTCTTGGTAGAATGTTATTTCACCCATGAATCTCCCTCCCTTGGGAATGAAATCCCATTTTAACTGATTCTAATTTCCATTCCGTTTCCTATCTAAACCAATCAGACCAGGGGAATATACTATTTTGATTTTAATTCCAAAAGATTTTGACCTCAATTCGGATTCCGGTTCCAAAACTAATTATTAACCAAACGGACCCTAAGTGATTTTTCCATAAATTGCAACGATCTAACAAATTGGGACCACTGAAAAATTATTTTAAGACATTCAGTGCCTCACCACCTTCAAAACGTCTTGAACTCGTAAACTCTAAATTATTGGAAGTTTATGTGGTTATTGAATGTGGAGTCATATCTCTCACCCAATCACCCCCTAGTTGCTTTTGTGATGTCCCTTTCAGTCCTTATCTCCTCAATGTCAAATTATTAGTTGATTGTGCTTGTTAAAAAATAAAAATCTAATATATGGGTTGCTTTTGACTATTTTCTTTTTCTTTTTTTAACTCTAAACTTTATTCCAGACGGAAAGTCAGTCACCTGAAATTTTACCAACTACTGTTGAAAAAAAAAAAAAAAAGAAAAAGTACATTTGATTTGAGTTTTGAGGACGTAGCCCTCCAAGTAGAGGGTTGCTTTCATTAACTAATTTATTAAAATAGGCAAATAAAGTCTTCGTTGGACAAAAGAGAAAAGGAATTTCACATCTAGAAGGCAATAATGTCTTGACAGAATGATTGATACTGGTGAAGGCTTGAGATCAAGTTTGGGTAAGAACTAAGTAGGAAGGAGAAGCCACTTGAACAGTTGAGAGATGCAATTTTTGGCTTATCAGGGTGCCAGACCGGGCTTTGCATCTTTATTAATAGAACACATTTACGTCTGAGCCCATGCCCTACATAAATCTCGAAGCCCAACTTAGAAATTGGTTAAGAAGGAATTTTTATATTTAAAAAAAAATTAAATTGATTTATTTATATTAAATTACTTTAAAATCCGAAAATACTGAAAGGTCTCAAGAAAAGTCGAACAAAAATGTATATAAATTTTTTTTTATATAATAAAAATATATTTCATTATACAAAAAATTGTTTTTTTTATTTTTGGAGAAAACCTAAACCTGACCCGAAAGCTTAGTGTTTTGGGTCAAAGTCCACAGAACTAAAAATCATGTCCACACCCGAGAAATAATGAGCCGAGCCCTACCCAGTCCA